TGGGATGGGGTGGGGTGGGATGGGATGGGGTGGGATAGGATGGGATGGGGTGGGATGGGAACGATAGGATAGGATAAAGTGGGATGTGGTGGATGATGGAAAAGATGTGCTGGGTGGGTTGGAGTGAGTGGGATGAAAGAAATGTATTGGGTTAGATTCCACACTGGACCTGAAAAATGCAAGATGGTTCCAGCATTGCAGTGCAGCCTCCCATATGAGTTCAAGGTATACAGCAGGCAATTAGTGGCTCCTCATTCTAACTTGGGTCATTTTACCCTGCTATGATGAGATGATGTGTCCTGTCTATAATGACAAATAAGTTAAACAAAATTATGGTGGCTGACATCCAAGAAATCTGATGAATTCCAACAGGCACCTATAAATCACTCATCAGGATGCATTTTTACCTCTGCATTTAACAACTTTCCACTGATAACAAAGTAAAACATGCTGTATTATATAAGGTGGTAAGTACAGAAGGAAACAAAGTCTCCTTTTGCATAAGTGAGCACTGTGATGAATATTCTGCCAGACATTTTAGTATGAACCATATTTATTCTACAATAATTTTTACTTTAAATATGAAAAACCTCTTATTATTATTAGATATTCCTCTAAGTAACATATCAATGTTGCACTGAATACAGAATGTGAATGCCACTAAGTTTATGCACTAAGTTTCCCAATGTTTCTACATTATAGCAGCTACTTAGCACTCACTCCTTACATTCATCTTTCCATTTGCCCATGGTTATTCTCTTAAAACAATTAGAGAAAATGGGGATACAGAGGCAGAGGCAGACACACCCTCAGAACTTCACTTTAAGACTGCCCCAACTCCTGCCCTTGCAGAGATGGTTAGGAGCAAAAGTGAATGGACAAAAGGTAAGAGCAAAGAGGGATTGATGTTAAATCTCAAAAACAAAGGAATGTGTGCTAAGAAGGCAGGAGAACTGAGAAGCTAATAACTGAAACTTCCATTTTTTATCATTTAAAATTTTAAAGTGCCTATCTCTAAGAATGGAGAGGCGGGGCAGAGTGAGAAAGGGGGCTAACTCTTTGGGGCAGGATCAGGAGGGCTAGAAGCATGAAGGAGGCCACCTACCTTCGTATGTCATCCCTACAGAGGTCAATGTGGTACTTTAGCAGCCAAAATTCAGAGCCAGAAGACAACAGTATGAAAGTATCCATGTAGTAGAATTGTGCAGATGTTATTGGCTTGGGAAAGGACTCTGGACCCTGTGAAGCAGACCAGCTGTGAACACTGCCACACACTATCACATGGTCTCTCCCAACACCCCTCCTCATTTTCCTGTCCTCATCCTGAACATAGGTCTTGTCACAGTCAACTCATAATGCTGATTTTGCTTGCTGACCACTGTCAAACTTACTGTAATGAGCCTTTTCAATTCTGCCTGTTTACAAACTCTAAGATGAAAAAAATTGAAAACGCGGGGATAAGGGAATTTTGAGACAGGATCTTACTATATAACCCAAACTGACCTCAAACTCATTTGTAGGATCATCCTGCCTCAGCCTCCTTAATTCGAGATAACAGGCTTCTGTCACACAGCTGGCTCAGAAAATTGGAAAGCGAGGGTAAATGAAACACTGACTATCAAGGATATTCTGGTATTGAAATTAAGAACACGATTTGGAACACAGCTCTAAGTGTCTACTCCTGACTTGTATCTCATGGCCAAGCAGGCCCAGCCCAGAGACCAGCACTGATAGCTCTGGGGCTGCTGAGAACTCCCTACAGGGTGCTGACCCTAGCCAGCCCATCTGCCCTTCTGCCCTCTCCAGAGATGAGTTGTGGGGTGGCACATCTCACTGTGGCAGCTGACAATGCATACAATGCCTAGCCACTCATGGAGGCACAATTGAGTATCCAGACCCTGTAGAATGTGGACCATAAGACCAACTGAGCATGTGCAGCCCAGCATTATCAGAGAGCATTGCATCCTTGGGTCACTAAGAAAAGGTCAAACTTTCACATGCTGTTAAGTTTAAATATTATAGTCGAAATGTCCAAAGTCAGCCTCTGTCTGACTTTTCCAAATGCTCACCACTGCTGGATTAGCACCTTCTTCTTCCCATCTTAGTAGTGAGATTTTTTTTTTGTGTTCAGTCTCTCTTTTCTCATTCTTTTTCCAAATAACCTTACATACATTTGCTTAAGCAAGTCATTTCACTCCTTCACATAACATCCTCTTGTCCATCATTATGACCTCTATGATATAATGATGAACTAACATGTAAAGTTATCCATGTTTTACTATGGGTATTTTTGCCATTTTCATACCATAACAAATATAAATGTATAATAAATGTGTTTGTCAATGTACAAATCACACACCAAGAGTGTGTTACCATGTGTCATATATGCATGCATTTCATGTGTGAATGAGTGTAAGAAACTGCCCCACCATGATGTTTCTATTGTAGTGGAACAGCTCCTCATTCTGTCTATTGCTGGGCTCCCCGACACAGAGGCAGACAGCTGTGACTGTCCACAGTTCAACTAAGCAGTTTATCTGCCATCACTACCCACCATGACATATGTGCTCATGTACACATTACCAAAAGCAGCATGAGTTCTGTCCTGTGAACTGACCACACCCTCAGTGTCTGGTCCCGGCCTGTAGACAGCAGCCATTTCTTGTCATGGCTCCAGCAGACAGTGTTCACCGCTCCATCATGACCTAAGTATTCAGGAAAAAGGGAGAACAGAGGAGAATAGTTGCCAGTACAGAACTGCCTCTTCTCAAGGAATGATGGAGGCAGTTTCTTGCAGCGCGGCAGACGGACCAGGCCCAGTGTCAGATGACCTTGCACTAAAGGCATTGATGAGGCTTGTAGAGGAGGCCTTTCTAAAATCTCATGTTTCTTAAAGATGAAGTTCTGATGTTGTGTGTCCAGGCTAGGGGGAGTTCTAACACAACAGTATAAGAATCAGTGTTCTAAAAGAGAGAACAGAGATCTGTGGACCCTGTGGTGCTCTACCAGCATTTAAAAGAGCCTTTTCCTTTGGTTTTAAAGAGAAGAAACAGAAGACTTCACTGAAGATGCTTGGAAATACTCTCGTCATTTGCTCTGGCCAATGGCTGCTGATCTACACAGGTGCCGGCACACTTGTGGACAGCACCAGCTAGGGACCCCACAGGTGCCGGCACACTTGTGGACAGCACCGGCTAGGGAACCCACAGGTGCCAGCACACTTGTGGACAGCACCGGCTAGGGAACCCACGGGGGGATGAGACGGCCATTCAGTGCCCACTCTCGCTTTCGGCTAGGCAGTCCCTACTCCAGTCTCTTTCTAGCACGGAGCGTGCTGTCTCCTAACCCCACCTTTGCCCTTACAGTCTCTACAAGGCAAACTTGAAACCATAGCTACGAGTATTCTGAGAAACCCAAGAGCCTGAGGATTCACAGAAGCAGAGGCTTAGAGAAAACAACACCAGCTCTTCTCTGGGAGAACTTGTGGAAATCTGCAGACAGGGGAGCTGGGGCTGCACACTGTCAGGCGTGCACCGGGGTATCAGTGACCCAAGACTTGCTGAACCATCACATTTCACCCCAGAGTGCTGTGTGGTGAGAACTGCAAAGTAAGGAACCACAACTTTGACAAGAATCTAACTAACAGGAACCTCCCACCCAGGCTGGTCTCAGCACAGGAACTGCACGCTGCAATTGAAAGTCAGTGAATCAGTATCACCAGAACATATGGCCAGAAAACCACCAGAATAAAAATGGAAAGCCAGAAGAGAATTGTAGGTAGGATGTCACTCTGAAATTGGACCCCAAAACAGCAAAAAGTCATCAAGCAGAAAAATTATGTCAAATGACTTTGCTGCCCTCTTGTGTCGAATTCCGGCATTTTCACAAAAGTGCGAAGGCTCTGTCCAACGCCCAAAGAACACCACTGCTCATAGGAATGCAAAGTGGGGCACCATGAAATCTGTGTGGAAGCTGCTCAAAAAGCTAGAAATGAATCTACCACATGATCCAGCTATAGCATTCTGTACCAAAAGGACTCTATATCCTACAATATATACACCTGCTCACCATGTTCAACATTGCTCTATTCATAACAGCCTAGGTGTCCATCAACTGATGTACGTATAATGATAATTCAGTGTGTCTATACAATAGAATATTATTCATCTGTTAAGAAAATGAGATTATGAAATCCACAGGTAAAAGACGAGGATGGAAACAACCATCCTGAGTGAGGTAACCCAGACCCAGAAAGACAAATGCTCCACATTTTCTCTAATTTGTAGATACTCTCTCTGACTCTTTCGATATATTGTTTCATCGGGAATATCAATGGAGGTCATGAAATTAGTAAGGGACCATGGTGTGGGGCTTTCAAGGGAGCAGAGATAGAACGAAGTGATGTAGAGAGGTAAAGATAGAAAGGGCAGTAATGGAAAGGGAAGGTTAACGGGGTGGGATTGGGAAAGAAGCGTAGAGGAGGGAACACGAGGAATAAATGATACTATAGAGCTTTGGAAAAAACACATGGAAGCCTGCTATTGCAGCAGCTTCTTAAAATGTATACATACACACAGGAGAAGAATTTAAATGGAAGTGCTCTGTAAGGAAGTGACAAGCCCATACTAGACACCATAGACAAACAAAAGGCCCAATGTCCAGAGTGGCTACCACTTTGGGAGTTGTTGGCCACTGAGGTCCCACAGACCCCCAAACATTCTAGGCCATTGCTACCATCCAGAAATTGATAATAAGACCCTACTGATAAAGATACCACATACTTGAGTCACAGAATATAAAGACATCAATTGGGTATACACCTGGAAGTTTCTTCCATGCCGGCTAGCTTTTGTAGTACTGGGAGGTGCTAGGTACGCTACCAAGGGAGAAGGAATGATAAATCTTATCTGGCTATGAATCTGGAAAGTTACAGTGATGACGGGTCTGACAAGACACGCCCACTTGCGCAGCAGTGGCATGGATGTCATGGGGATAGACTAACTACTTCCTGATTGAACTTAAGGCCCAACCATAAATCGAAACCCATACCTGGCACCAATAGAAGGCCTAACAATCTGTGGCCACACAGGTCATAGGTTCTGGGAGAGAGCATAGTATCATTGTTGTGATAAATGGCCACGGGGTTAAACTGACTCCTAATGACCTATGACCTATCCTGTATCCTTAGATTAGTGCTCCTCTCAATTGTCATCACATTCATTTCTTTCTTCAAGGGGTGATGATTGACACAGAGACTTACAACTGGTAAATGTGCAAAGACCGTGAAATGATCAACTCTGAATGGGACATTTTTTCACACCCCTCCTTCCAAGGCTCAGGAGTCATTTCAGAAGGAACAGAAAAGCTGTAGAGCCAGAGATGGTAGATGATACAAGGAAAAGTGTTTTCCAGACATAGCAGGGCACTTGACCTATGAACTCATGGCAGATGTGGCAGCATGCATAAGACCTGTGCAAGCTAAAGCCAGACAAAATCCCAATATGGAGAGGAGAGGTAGGCATGAAGAGCTATTGGGAACCGACAGCTGCTGGGAGAGGGAGAGTCAGTTTTCTTTAAGGGTGCAGTCCCTGGTAGGCCATCCAAACTCCAGTGGAAGGCCAGACATACAAAAGTTTAGGCAAAACACAAATTGGAATTGATGGGTTAAAAAAAAAAAAAGACACAAAGTTTGTTGAGGAAGGAAGGGTTGGGTCTGGGAAGAGTTGGGCGGGGGGAGGTGATAAATATGTTTTACAAAATTCCTAAAGAACTAATTCAAAAACAAATAACAACAACAATAATAAAAATCACAAGCATTCACTAGGCCTGCTAACAATCAAAAGCAACAGGGAAATGATGCTGTGATATTGTCACTGAGTAGAAATCGCATCTGAGAGCCATAGTGCCTCAAAACTGGCACTGGCTCATATCTGCCCTGGAGGCAGGGCACGTCTGAGCACCCTGACCTGACAATATACTTGTTTGATACCTGCCCTGCACATTCTACCTCCTGACCTCTATGTAGTAACACCCTCACACTCCTCAGATGAAAGCAAGGATATTTTAATCCACCTTGACCCCTACCCACAGGTGCAGAGGCTGCATGGGCTCACACAAAGGAGGAGCAGGTGGGACAATTTCACCAGAGTTCAGGTTTCTCAAGAAGTTGATGACACACTCAACACTAGAATACTCTCATCCTCCATCTTCCACTCATCACAGCATCAGCTGTCTACCTAGAGTGCACCAATTTGAATCTGAAAGCCAGCATAAGCAATGAACAAAGCAGGATTATATAGAGATACTCTATATAGAGAGCTACTGCATGGTCCTTCAACACATCACAGAAGGCTAGGGACTGGTATTCCCTGCTCCCACTCCTGGGACAAGACCAGAATGGATGCCTATGGACCTAATGAGGGCATATTCCCTTCTCTTTCAAACCACCCTAGACGCTGCAAAGACCCTAGTGCAGACTAGACAGTTCAGGCTAAGTCAGGGCCCAACATACATGGGCCACAGTGTATCTCTGATATAACATGGCTGTACATGGTTCTGGCCACACCACCATCTCACACTTCAAGAGTGTCCACTGCTATCCAAGCGAGTATCTAAGGCAGATGGACATAAGGCAAAAGATATTTTCTGTACATTTGTATTCAGTAAAAATACCTAGCAAGTGTAAGTTTCTAAACAAGCAGCTCTAGGATCCCAATAAAGAGCTAGGGATTCTTGGCTGTAAAACTAGGAAAATTATATATCAGTTAGGAATTTAGCACATTAACTCTCATTTTTAAATGGCATTGAACTGCTTAATGTATTAAAACATTCATTACAAACCCTATTAAATTTCAAAATATACTTCAATGAAAATGTTTTATTAAATTAACCATATTTCATCTCTGTAAGAGTGAACTTCCTTCACCACCCAAAACCATTCAAAGGCTATGGCTTTTGCCCATGAAGGTCCTGGCCATAGTTTGCTGCTTTGTCTTACAGAACATATGCATTGGGAAGGACACAGGCTCCACCTGGTTTAATAGCTTGCAGTAACCTGTTTCAAAAGCCCAAGTCCACCTATGAGCCACTGTGTATAGAAAACTAGAGCTTAGTCTGCTGCTGACAAGCACAACCCACAAGATTCACCCTCCCTCATGTCCCATCCCTCAAGATTAAGGATACCTGAAAAAGCAGCAGGTGTTCCAGAAAGGCTAGCATCAAAGACCAGGGAAAGGTGGTTAGCTAAGCCACAGGCCAACCGCTGTCCATCCCCTGTTTAAAAAAAGAAATCATATACAAACGAAAGGAAACACATGAACTATGAACCAATAGCTGAGGAGCCCCCAACTGGATCAGGCCCTCCGGATAAATAAGACAGTTGATTAGCTTGATCTGCTTGGGAGGCATCCAGACAGTGGGACCGGGTCCTGTCCTCAGTG